TTTAGGCATTTCTGTATCTATATAAAACTTATCAATTATAATGCTTTTAAACTCGAGTCCTTCCTAAAAAAGCCATTAGCCTGTAAATCCAAAACAGAGGAATTATGAAGAGATGATCCAAGATTATTAGAAACATCTCTTCGATAATGCATTTTTCTTCAAACATTTTAATAAAACCTTTGAAAAAATATTGCTCTAGGAAATAATACATTAAACTACACTGTCGATTTATATTTTAATTTAAAAATTTGTAATCAATATCTTTTTTTACTTATATTTTTTAAAATCAGCCTATGAAAATAAAAACAAAACGGACGCGATTTATCGGTGTAAAAGCAAACAATAATCCACGATAAATCCGGTTCATTAAAAATAAAAAGTTAAACCAATGTATTTTGTCTTATTTCTTCTCTGAAATAATACTATCGCTTAAAATAAATTAATTCATATTTATGATTTATAAATGGTTTCACTGAACTCATTGAAAAAAAATGTCTTTTGAAAAGAAAATTAAGCTAAAAAATATTTTTTAATTGATCTTAACCTGAGATTTGAAGGCATCAATTTTGCCTTTTATATCTGCACGTAAATAATTTATTTTAGAGTAAAATTTATGAAGCTTATTATTTCTTGTTACAATGTATACTATTTTATGTTCATCCTTATATGAAATATGAAACGTCAGTATTAAACAGAATTACATTCACTTTTTTCTTAGCATGGAATTATACGGCCTGGTTATTTATTTCAGTTAACACCGCAACAATCTCAGAGATATATTGAATCATTTGTTTCTAATTGAAGTTCCTCTAATGTAAAATAATTTGGATGTGGTTTTTATGATATGTCCCAGATATCTAGACCTATCCGAGAATCTGGCTTAAAAATCGACCCACCATTATTTTCAGGAACATCCATATTTAGATTAATTTTCATACGTCCTTACTTAACATTTTTCATTTTTTTCCTTTGACATTATATTTTTGAAATTACATCTTCTTTAGTATTTGCTGTTTTATTTTACTCATATATATATATACATTATGCGCTTTAATCTAAATCCGTATTCTTTTAAATCAATTTATTTATGAACGTTAATCAAATACATTTAATATTATATAGTGAACATTTCTGAAGAGCTAAAATTTTCTGCTAACAGTAAGTGAAAAGATTATAGTGAATCAATTGCTGGGTCAGCTGCTAGAAATGTTCCTTCATTGTGTCGTGCCAGAGAAGTTTTTTCTCCAGAATCTATCTTTATATATAAGTCTATAGCTGCCATATATGCTCTGGTGCTTCTGGTATACATTTAGAGATGCTTGATAAAATTCAACGGACAATCTAGTCTCTTGATTGTCCTGACCTAGCATCTCGCTTTCAGTCACTTTTCCAATATCATAATGTAACTCCCTAGTCCCTTTTCTATGAATTCTTTTATTGTAATTGTTCTGATGACGTCATGCACAGTTCTAGATTCGCGATGAGGTCTGATTATTTTTACACCTTCTGTACCTAGATGTAAGTTCAATGCTAACAGTTTCTTCTGTTGCACTGTTTTCTTAATACTTGTTTTTTCCTCCCTCCGTAATAGCATATTTCTCATACACCTCGTACAACTCAGTAACTCTTTGGGTCTTTATTGCCTCGCCGGTAGTAAAAAGATTTAAAAAAAACTGCGAATGTTCTGATAATGTTTGTGTGTGTGTTCGCATATCTATAGAGATGCACATGTGCATAGATATAACTGATTATATGTCCATTAATTGTATCCACACATTCGTGCAAGCCAGATTTCATAGACACGGAAATGAAAATTATCTTTCCAAAGCAGAAGATCAAATCACATTTTTGCAGATATAATTGCGTTTAGACAGAGGATATAAATTTGATTAGCACTTCTTTTAATGAGTAGAATGAGTAAAAAGTAGAGAAACAATAATTCCGGATTGGATATTTCTTAAGTGCAGAAAAAAAAGAAAACAAAGAAACGAATTAGGCCAATCAGTAAAACAATTTCGCATCATAAAAATAATACTACCCAATATTGAGACAGCCATTATCGCAATCAACGAAGCGTTCTACGTAGATTAACAACGTATGAAATATGTATTTACTAGATGATATCTATCTTAGCAAATAATTCTCAAAAAGAATACAGACGAAAGATATTTGAATATTTATACATGAAAATAATATTTCTATATAATTATATCCACAAAGACACAATTATTTCGTAATAGGTTTTGGAGGGAGACAGAAATGATAGGGATAAAATATATTATATGCTATTCTCTTCAGACATTCTGGTATGGAAATGAAGAATAAAATGGTCAAATCAAAAGATGTAAAGATAAACCGCAAAATTCAAGAAATCGAATTCTGTATTTCAATTGGTGTGAGATTATATAAAAAGTATGTATAAAATTCTACAATTAATTTTAACTTATTTTCACACCTTTCTGATGATACCTTTTCATATTTCTGATGGTAACGTAATTCACGAAACAAGTCACCACGCATTGATATATCATCAATCCACACTATATTCGATTTGAAAAATTATTCCAAAATATAGTGGTATTAAACTGTTATGGGATCTTACAAATAATAATGGACTATTCCACACTTAATAAATACTGCGCCTCGGGACTAGGCAGGATGTCTGTCGTTCACTTCTGAACCGACAGTTCGGTTGAACTCTCTGCCTTCGAGCGGAGAGGACCCGAACGAGGCTACGCCGAAGGGCGGAGTCTCTTTCGGGGAAATAAACCGACCCTGAACCCGTTTATAGGGGTTCAATGAGCCTATCTTTGGGCTCGGAGATCCCACATTAAATAACCGACCTTGTGACACAAGTGGGAGGGTGACTGAATATCGTCAGTTATTATTTCAAGTCGAGTCAAGAGTCAATCCGAAACAGAGTTGCGTTCAGGCAATTACTGCAAGACATTGGAATAGTGATACTGGTCGAGACTACATTGTTCTCTCTACTAAACCTGATTGTTCATACTAACACTTCTACTTCTCTGTATATATTACTGTTTGTAATATATCTGTGTTATTCCATACCTGTGTTCGCGTTCTTCTTTATTGGTTCTACCTTGGACTATCACCTTGGTACAAGAAACCGGACTATAACATAAACAATATACGTTATAGAAAGTGAAGCATGTATATATGCGTATATTTGTGTACGAACATCACTACGAACACAATACTTCCAGAATTGGCTGTGTATTATTTTTCCAATATAGTTTGCATAACAACGTTTGACCATGCGTAAAAATAAACGTTTCGGTTATCCTATGTTAATTAAATGATACACATGATACATCGTACATTGTTAATATATTGATACTGTTAAATTTAACATTTCCAGAAACCCATTTTAATTTAAACAATTTAACTTGTATTTAACATACCTGTGCCAAATTAGTGCGCTTGTGGTTATGACACCTACAAGGATATATCCAGGTAGTTTTAGGCTAATAAATTTTATACTTGTCGGAGACTGATTTTCAATCTTACCGAATGTATTAATTTGAAAAAAATAATGTCTTTATTGTTCAGAAAACATTTTTCTTTAAAAAAATATAACAGTAGAAAAATGAGATAAAGATTCTTTCGTTTATATGGTTGTCGTAAAATATGTCAATTGTAATTGAACACTAATTATTTTAACAACAACTAATGTTGACATTTTTAATTAGTAAAGGAAAATGCCATGTACATCTTAATTGGCAGCCATATTGAATGTTTGTTACACATTGCTTATTTTAAGTGAATTTGTTCCTTTTTAGAAAATTTTATTTCTTAAGATTACATTGTTTCCTTTATCTTCACTAATTTATTTTATATTTCCGTTTTGGCCGCTGTCTTTGTTGTCTTAATTTTATATAAAACACCATATCTATTTTATTTGCTTATATTTTGTATAAACCTTTTTCTATATTTACTCTTTATTTTCGCCTATCCTTGGTTTTGAAGCATTCTAATTTAGGTAAAATTATTTGAGATTGACTTTCAAAGACACAATTGTATTCCGTGCATAATGGGTAGCAGCTAAAGTTTCTGTCATGAAAACATCTGTTTTTTAATTTTAATCATCGGTATTCTAATATAAATATGCTGATTAAATATTTCAAGAAAAATCTAGAAATTAAGAACATTTCAATATCGTTGTATATTAATCTATTTGTAAAATAGATCCATGGCATACCCTTGCTAAGCAATCAATTACTGAGAAAGTTATTTCTTGAACTAATTTTTAAATATAAAGACATTGTAAATATTTACAGAAAACTGAAAAGAATCAATATGAGGAATTTAAGTAGCACTGGTTTATGAATGTCTGTTCACTGTGCCACTTTCATATAGATTGTTTACTTTTAATATTGAAAGAGAGAGTTTAACCAACATAAGGACTGATACAATTAACGATAATAAAAATGAAGACTATGGATAATGTAAATATTTCTTCAGATTCAGTCATTCACTCCGGTAGTTCACTTCTACTAACAGGCAGGGAATTTTTCTTCTGATGATGTTCATGCTGTCCGAAACTAGTCGAGGAACTTGTGATACTATTTGTTGTTACCGCAGTAAAATAAGAAAGTCTACATATCAATAGAAAGTGATATATGCTGAGAGAAATTGAAACGAGAAGGGTTAATACCAAAGACCTGTGGAAGGAATTGAAGATTTGATTCACATATTAACGAATTGAATTGTAGATTGAAGAGTTTGAACAATGGAAAAGTGAATTACGGGCAATGTTGATTGACACAAGGCTGCAAATGCAAGCTGTAAAGCGAAAATTTCATTTTTCGTAAACATCAAATTTGGAGTTGATTCCCCTGGTTGAAATACCAGAAAGGAGGTTGATAAGCTACCCACGCTCACTAGGGAGATTTAGTGAGAGGGAATACCGAGAATAATCGCATTCACTTACTTCGCCAGTTAATAAATGTTAATAAATACGAATGCGCGAAGACAATTAGTCAGACGAGTCGCAGAAGAGAGAAGAGAGACGAAGAAGAGACGAAGAAGAGAGAAGAGACAGAAGAGAGAAGAGAGACGAAGAAGAGAGACGAGAGACAGAAGAGACGAAGAGGAGAGAAGAGAGACGAAGAAGAGACGAAGAAGAGAGAAGAGACAGAAGAGAGAAGAGAGACGAAGAAGAGAGACGAGAGACAGAAGAGACGAAGAGGAGAGAAGAGAGACGAAGAAGAGACGAAGAAGAGAGGAGAGAGATAGAAGAGACGAAGAAGAGAGAAGAAAGACGAAGAAGAGACAAAGAAGAGAGAAGAGAGAGAGAGAAGAGACGAAGAAGAGAGAAGAGAGACGAAGTAGAGACGAAGAAGAGAGAAGAGAGACGAAGAAGAGACGAAGAAGAGAGAAGAGAGAGAGAGAAGAGACGAAGAAGAGAGAAGAGAGACGAAGTAGAGACGAAGAAGAGAGAAGAGAGACGAAGAAGAGACGAAGAAGAGAGAAGAGAGACAGAAGAGACGAAGAAGAGAGAAGAGAGACGAAGAAGAGACGAAGAAGGGAGAAGAGAGACAGAAGAGACAGAGAAGAGTGAAGAGAGACAGAAGAGACGAAGAAGAAAGACGAAGAAGAGACAAAGAAGAGAGAAGAGAGACAGAAGAGACAGAGAAGAGTGAAGAGAGACAGAAGAGACGGAGAAGAAAGACGAAGAAGAGACGAAGAAGAGAGAAGAGAGACAGAAGAGACGAAGAAAAGAGACGAAGAAGAGACGAAAAAGAGAGAAGAGAGAAAGAAGTGACGAAAAAGAGAGAAGAGAGACAGAAGTGACGAATAAGAGAGAGGAGAGACAAAGAAGAGACGAAGAAGAGAGAAGAGAGACAGAAGAGACGAAGAAGAGACGAAGAAGAGAGAAGAGAGACAGAAGAGACGAAGAAGAGACGAAGAAGAGAGAAGAGAGACGAAGAAGAGACGAAGAAGAGACCAGAGACAGGAGAGAGGCCTATGTGATTATCTGTCGACGAAAACCTCCAACTTCATCCTTGTGACAAACTTTACCAAAGTAGCAATCCAGCTTTTAACAGGTCAACAATAATATCACCTCCGATTTAGAAGCGAGTTGGGCTGATATTAAATTGCATGGGAATTCTGGTATAAACCAATTATCGTACGGAGGACTGAAATAAAAACAGTATTTACTTTTGTTCAATTTATCCATGTGTTATATTTTCCCGGTACGACTTCGCCCTGCTTGGACCAGCCAAACACGATGATAACTGTGACGATTCAATCTTGGCAGCCTTATGATCAAAATTAAATTACAACGAGGGATAAGGTTAGCTCTGGATTGAAGCGGTTACTTCAGCGACCGACCTCGGTGTTGGAAGACTTGAACGACCGGGCAAGTTATTGCACGATTACAACCTAATTGAAATAATAAAACAAATAAAAAATATTAATATACAAAACCGTTTGTCTGAAAATATTAATCTTTTAATATTGTTATTGTTCAAAACATAATTATGGATAAGAGACACGGGACTAAACAAAAAGGCGAAAATATAACACCAGCAGAACCGAAGAACCAACAAATTAGCTTAGTATTAATCACACCAGGAAAATATAAAAATATATGCCTGAAGGATTAACTATTACCGACCAATTTCAGGATTGATCTCTGGCATCATGTTACCGTAAAATAAAAGACATCTCCAAGGAGTTCATGCTGGATATCAGACAGTTCTTTCTGGTATCATAATGGCAACAACAGAAGAACTCAATCTGCTTGATGAGTAAATAAAAAACAGACATTGAGGAATAAGCTAGCACAAAGAATGGTATAAAAGCTCGCAGAGACCAAAGAGTGAGGGAAATGCGAAAAACAAAAACTGAAAAAGAGATAATTGAAATGGAATATTTCTTCAGCCAGAAGAACAAAAGAGAAATCATATCTATCTCAGAAAAACATTAACGACCATCCCACAAAAGAAAACAAAACACACCACAATCACGTCGGCCACATCACAACAAATGCATACACAAAAACCACATACAAACGGAAACAGACAAATATTAGCACCAGAACCAACAATAACGACACCACCACCACCATCATTAAAAGCTAAAACCTCCAGACGAACAAGCACACACAAAACAAGATATGTAAACGTCTCAACAATTTTTAATGCCGTACCATCAATGAATACGGAAGGATTTCTGAGAGATGGATTGTCTGGTACTGGTTGGTACATTAGCCCAATTTTAATACTAATAGAGACTCCAAATGCTTTCGCTGTTTCAAAGTATTTATCAAGGATAGTTTGAATGTCTTCTCGACTGTGAAGAGCGGCATCATTTGCAAAGAGAAGATCACGTACCAGCTGCAGGCCTAGTTTCAATTGTGCTTTAAATTTTTAATGATTGTATAGACCTCCACTTGTTCTGAATTCAACATTGACTCCTTGACCTAAGTCAGAGAAAGCTTTTTCAAGTATAGAAGAAAAGAAAATTGCAGACAGAAAAGGAGTAATAACGCAGCCTTGCTTTGTACCCCTGGAGACGAAAAAGGCGTCCGATTGCTCACTCTCCGATCTTAAAAAAGCTTTTATTCCTTCTTGAAAGGAGATAATAATATGGAGCATTTTTTCTGAAACACCGAATTTTGACAAATTATTCCAAAGAGCAGTTCGAGATACAGCGTCGTAAGCCTTTGTGAAGTCTACAAAAGAAGAAAAAGATCCTTGGTTTGTTCTCGTTACTTCTTCTGAGCCCGTGAAAGACAAAAGATCATATAAACGATCCCTCTACCGGATCGTACACCGCACTGGGTCTCTGTTAATGCCGATTCTGAGACAAATTCATTAAGCCTATTCAGGATGATACGAGCGAGGATTTTGCTAGCAACCGAAAGAAGAGATAATCCTCTATAGTTGTCACATTCACACAGGTTACCTTTGCGCATTATACAAATGAACAATTGAAGCATCCTTATACTGCTGTGGCACTTCTCCCTTTTCTCACACAAGGTTGAAAAATTTTCGCGTCAAAAGATTATTGCCACAATTGTATATTTCAACTAGAATTCCATCTTCAACGGGGGATTTTCCATTCAAAACCTGTTTGATGGCGTTTTTGAGCTCGATGTTGGAAGGGTTAGCAGAAAGGCTTGCACAACAGGTCTCTGGGGAAGATTCTTCAGCATCAATAGACCAACCCTGATTTAGGACCGTGGAGAGGTGTTCTGTCCAGCGTTTGATAATGTGGCTTTTGTCTGATAAAAGGAATGATTGTGGATAGACTGTTGGCAATAGGACCAAAAACACCCTTCGAATTTTGGTAGAATGATTTGAAGTCACATTAGTTTTTGCTGTCCATCTGTCCTCCTTTTTCTCCCCCTTACTTTTCTTGAGAGTTTCCCTTGACAGATTAAAGGCAAGTTTCGTTTTTATAGGAATGCTTTGTCAGTGATCCAGACCTGATGACATGTATGCATGTTTTCAAGGAGAGGTTGAATTTCAAGATCGTTTGAATGAAAACTGTCTTAATGTTTTCGCTGAACATAGCCGAGTGTTTCTTTTGCTGAGTCATACAGTATGTTTTGTAAGGCAGACCAAGTCGTTTCAACTTCATTAGCTACATCAAGAGATGAAAGAGTTACATGATGTTTGGAAAGAGTCTAATGTTTTCCTGTCTTTCAGCTTTGTCATATCTATCTGCTTTGGTAGTTTTTGCTCGATTGTTTCAAACAGGCTTCTTCAAATGCATATGTGAGCAAACAATTTTGTGATTGAACAATATTGACTGATTGCTAGTGATCGTGTCAAGTTTATGTCATGGCGTTCGCGGACATAAACGACGATGAAGACAGTCAGATGGTCGTGTCCTAATCTAGGATGTCACAATGTAGTTTTGAAAGTAATTGATTCTTGGAATTTTGTTGGTGATTATAAGTTGGAATTCGCTGCAGAGACATCAGCAATATCCCGTTAGAATTTCATTTAACGACGCCATGTTTTCCAACGATTTTACCCCAGGATAGTGTGTCATATCCATCATGAATGTAGAAGTCAAGTGTCTTACCTGCTAACATGGCTGCCTTCTTGTGTCTTATTAGAAAAGCAACCCAGCTAATTTTACCCCATTTATAGGAGAGTACCTAATGCACCAGTTAAGGTGGATCATTATGGTAGAATTGACCTGCCCAACATATCTGTATGAGTTGTCTTTTCATTCATATATCTCTCCATTAAATGACTCAGGTCAGTTTTAACTTGTGATTACACCAGTATACTTGTGTGTGAGACCACTTGCAAGCTAACCAATACTCTACAACGAGCATTGACGTCCCCATCACATAAAGTTTGCCACGAAATGACGTCCGCCTTAGAAGTTCACGAAGGTTACAATAAAAGGATCCTTTTACATCCTCAGTATATTCCATGGTAAGTCATAACAACTAAGTAAAGAGACATGCTTATTTCTACAGATAGGTAAGCGAAGAGCCATTAGCCTGTCAGAAATATCAAATAAAAGCGATTGCAGTCGTGACATAAGATCTGGTAGAACAAGTTTCTGATAGAAAATCCTATGCCAGATTCTCTTTTAGCAGATTCAGGTCGTTCTACCCAGAAGAAGAGGTAGCCACCTTACACTTCAGTTGCCCATTTTCTGGAAGTGTGGTTGATGTGTTAAGATCAAGCTAGAGACTGCCAGAGGCACCCCCACCTGCCCCCGTCCTAATCTCTTCCTCGTCATGGGATTTCTGTCCTGCATGTATTTGCGTTGAACTATATTAGCAATCCAGCTACTGATCAAACTGAACTAAAATGTGTTTAAAGTGGTCAGTTTCTTGTGCGGCAACTCTCTCCATTAAAACAATATAGCTCATACAGGTGCATTGTGTGCCATGCGTTTGGTGTTTGTGATGATCGCATGTTATATTTTCACAAACCTTGACCCCAAGCAAGGTGGGATGCCACAAGCCCGCAAGGGATTGCAAGGAGTGGAAGCGAGAATAAAAAACAGCGTGAAAGAGGAAAGGATGAAGAGGAGGATGGGGTATAGGTCAAGACATTTGGAGACATTCCATTTCAATAGTTGGAGATTATAGCTATCAGGGAAGCAATGAAGAGGAAAGAAGTTTCATAGACGAGAAGAGCGAGATATGAAGGTATTGGGGTAGAAGAAATGACTATATTTAACCGTTTCGACAGTGAAAGGATGGGACCGAAATGCCAAACGAGTAGCACGTTTAAATTCCTGCAGTCTGGGAACTACTGAAATTAGATTGCCGGGCAGTTACCGTGAAAGTATTTGTAGAAAAGACAGAGGGAGTCGACACCAGGAAGATCGTTAACAAAGATAAGGACAAGAGTAGGGCCCAGGATAGAGCCATGGGGAAAAGCTGCGTACGTGGCAAAGGAACTGGAGGATAATCAGTTAAAAACGAACTTCATTACTCGGTTTGGGTGGAATGACCGTTTTAAGTTAAATAGTCGACCTGAAATTCCGTAGCCCAGAAGCTTACGAACGAAGCTGGCATGCCAAACTCTATCAAACGCTTTAGAGATATCTATAGCCACGGCACGAGATTCTCTGTTATTGTGAAGTACTTGGTAAACAATTTAAGTTATGGCAGTGAGCACATCAGCTGCAGGACGAGCAAAGCGGAAACCATATTGTTGTGAGAGAGCAAATCATGTGATATAAGCTGCTTTACCACTTCATCATTGATTAAAGATGAAAGAATTTGCCGAAGAGTGATAGGAAACTGATAGGACGGTAGTTAGATGGCTCAGAAGGGTTTCCAGCGTTCTTAAAAACAGGCACAGTAGATGATGACATCAAACTGGTTGGAAAGCAAGATTCATTGAGACAGCAGTTATATAATTTGGAGTGGTCAGTTCAAGAGCACATTTCTTCAGGAGAATGGTTGCTATCCAGTCTCCGCCGCTAACCTTATGGTAGTCTAATTTAGAGATGATTGCCAATACCAACGAAAGGGGTTATGTGCAAATCTCTCAATATAGCCTAAGTTATATTGGGGAAATCGGGTGTGGGTACACCGGATGAGTCAAGCGTTGAGATGGATGAGAATTTCCGAGAAAAATCACTCAGCTTTATCAGCTGAGGAGGTCAGTGTTGTTCATGATGACGGTCGTCTTCGAGTATAGAATCCAGAGGTTAACAGTGAATATTTCGAAGACAGTAGGAAAGCGTTGTTCAGGTTAGCAGTGGATATCCCGGTAAAGTAGCAGAGCGTATTTCTTCCTTCTGTTTCTCTTCGTCTGGCAAGCTGGCATTGGACATTCGGATAGAGTAAACAAAATGGCCGCTTTTATACATGACGGTCGTCTTCGAGTATAGAATCCAGATGTTAACAGAGAATATTTCGAAAACAGTAGGAAAGCGTTGTTCAGGTTAGCAGTGGATATTTTGGTAAAAGTAGCAGGGCATAGTTCGTTCTTCTGGTTCTCTTCGCCTGACAAGCTGGAACTGGACATTCGGGTAGAGTGAACAAAAATGGCCGCCTTTATACACGACGGATTGAATATTCTACGTCTTCTGATTGGTTAACATTCTATTGGTGGACTATAAAGTGAGTCAAGTCATTTGGACTGGCTCATTAGTACATAATACATACAAAATCTGCAACAGTCAGGACCTCAAATCTTTCAACAAAGGAGACATTGGGGTTTGCTGTTGTTAAGCACGCTTTGCAGAGACACCAATAACCCTTAGAGCCGAATTTGCGAGATGCAATATGTTGTTTCATTCTATCAGAAAATAGTGATTTGCTTCATAAAGGACAGGCTTGCACTCATTACGGGCTGAGACAAAGAGACGTTTATGCAATCTGATGTCACTAGGATATAGGCGGAAGAAGTCATTGCTATGAGCAATGGTAGATGAGCAAGCAGCAAAGAACCCAGGGGATGAGCGCAATTTAA